GAAACTGCATTTATCCAACAAAAAAACAACTACAAAGGTGACCTTCAGATATTCGAAAAGGACACGGAAATATCTCTAATAAAAGATGATGTAAGCATGATCATCATAAACACTTTCTTTAGATTTTTGAAGTGTACTCCTGAGGATAAACACAGCTAGAGTGCAGTATCAATAAATCAACTGCAATGCAACTTTTCATTTCGTTTTTATTTGGTTAAGACTATGAAACCAGATACACTACAGTTTAGATGGCATCTTACTGTTATACATTATATCTTTTATTCAGTATTAATGTTCCATTAGTTAAGACAGTAAAAAATAGGAATAATCCCTAATATTGAATAAATTTAGATGATTCAGTCAACATTAATAGTATTCTGTAATGATCACGTCGGTGGATTTCTCTTTCAGTAGAAATATCATTGATCACTGCGGACAATCGTGCCAGTACTTAAGTAAGCAAATATTTGACTGAAAATGAAATAAAAACTTGGGTGGCTGTAGCTAGGCACTCTATCAACTGAGCTACGTAACAAAGCCTCTGACTAATTCTCAACTTCACCCCAATGAAGGAGGGTTTTACCTAGCTGTTATGCAAATATGTGACATATTCTAGTGGTTGCTGGTGATCAGAATAGATATGAGTAGTACATGTAGAGAGGGGGGTGGCAGAAATCATAGGCAATTACCAGCAATGGGTAAATATTCTGCCCAGAGAAATGTAAGAGACAACGCGGGCGTATTACGACCAAATCGAGATAGAAGTAGAAGAGGATATGAAGCACATTGTGCAAATGACTGTCTTAGTGGAAAGTGTACAATATTTCATGACTACTGTAAAGGATGTCAATAATAAGTATTCTTTCTTTCGTCTCCGTCTTGTCGTTTCCTAAAATATGACCGTTATTTCATCATAATACCAACAGGTGAGTCTTATTGCTCACTTGGTAGAGTACGATGCTGGCAATCTAAAGGATTTTGGCTTAAGTATGAATACAATTCAGGTCTCTGTTTCTTCTCTAGTCATCAGTCCATGATCTATAATGATAGTCTACTAAATCATAATGATCTCATATATCGTCATCAATCATATTCAGTTGTTAGAAATACCAATATCAAGATAGAAAAAAGTGTTATAATCTAGGTATTTGCATCGGAATTACCTACAGTTTCTACAACTAGTGGTAAACACTATAAAGCTAGAAAATGCCTCTATCAAAATCTCAGTGACTCAGCCAACTTTGCTTCATGGCTGTTCACCTATATATATTCAAAATGCTTCTCAGTTGTTGATGACCACCAAACGTTTTTAGTAAAAGATATGAAGGTATGACTAATTGGTCTTTGATTCGACTTTCAGCAAGTGGGATTTCGTTTATAGCCACCTCCTTGAACCAAAGTTTTTGAAGTCACGTAGCAATAACATCAACTCTGAAATAAGTGATACAGCTTATAGCCCATTGAATGAACTTATTTTTTGGTTACTGAATTAAATTATTATTCTTATGACTAGTATGATTATTATTTCACACTTAATTCAATCATTAATCAATAATTTTATTAAAACTTCCTTGAGTAAATAATGTTTCACATAAACATGCATACGAAATAATTTCATGAATTCGATTAATCTACTACTAACACTAAAATCTACATTAATTACTATTCATAATCAACTGTTCTGATATTGACCTTTGCCTTTTAGCTAAAACATGTTTGAAAGTATTATTTATTGTTTTCGTCTTCATGGACTGTAAAAGCATATACATTCCAAAAGGGAAAAACTATATAGCTTTGGAAAAATCTGATGGAATTTATAAAATATTCAATCAAGAGATTGTATTCTTTCTTGATTGAATGTTGACAGATTTAGTCCGATAACAATTATCGAACTTAGTAAAAATGCAACAAGATAACTGCATATAAGTATTTGATAAGATTATTACATGAATATGGCTTGAACTTAAACCAGTGAAATATATAATGATTGTTAACTTTATGTGTATGCTTACGATTAAATTCTATGTTTTCTCAGGAAGGAAAGAACTAAATATTCAGTATTCTTAAATCTTAATGCTTGTTAAACCGTTCTCTTCAGTCAGTTACTATAATTGTAACTGTGATAAGATAGCAGAATAACTCCCCTAACAGTGAATATTGTATCCATCTTCATAATAAGCTTATAAAAGATTGAAAATATAAGATCTTGGTTAAAAGTGTAAACGTTTGTATAGTTGAAGCATTCAAGTGCATCTATAAGAATTGCTTTTATAATATGTTATGTACGCTGAACTACGATGTAATGCGTACAAGCAATATTAAATGAAGTGGTATTAGGTTGTAATAAGTCGCAGGTTCACTAAACCAAGCTATAGTACAAGTTGATGGAGTATCTGATTATTGAATTTAACTTTAAGCCATGCGACTGTGTTCCTCAAGATAATAGGATTATATGCTTAGAGACTCTGAGAGATATGAATCCAAATGAGTCACCATAACACAGGTGTATTCATTCTTTATAGTCTCCAAAATTTTGGATATTTTTACTTAACTGTCATTTATTTATCCTTTTGCCTTTCAGACAATTTCCTCTACTTTATTTAAGATTACCGTTCTTCTGTCAGCTTTCTTTTGTGTTGTTGTTTTTATGTGTAGCGATTAAACGTGACTGACTTCTGAGCAACATTCTACATTGGCTTATCTATTTATTTACAGAAATATCAATAAAAAGCTACGGGAAATTAATATCCTAGTTAATATACCTTAATTTATTCATTCGGATATGTAATATATCCTTAGATAAACGAATCATTTCTTCATTTCACTTATTTAATTGGCTAATTTAATTGTTTAGAAGGCTTAGGTAGTGAACATTGTTAGAACTTCATTTTATTTAAAAAATAAATGAAGGTGACAGTTATGGCGAAGATTTTACGTAACTAGAGGAATCCTGTACTGATATCTCTTTTATAAAAAGCTTACTGGTTATATATATATATATATATATATATATATATATATATATATATATATATATATATATATATATATATATATATATCAGTGAAGGGGAATGACAAAACAGATTCCGTATCAAGTTATGTATAGAAATTAAAAATTTTTCTAGATTCAGTGATATCAAGTGTTCTAGATGAAGTGAAATTCTCAATAAATACACAAATACATTTCCCTCAATACTCTTCAATAAGTGAAAGTAATCAAAAGTATATCTTGCTGGAAAATCTGATCTTAACTTTGATTAACCGATAGAATTGAATCGATCAATTTTTGATGATCAACGGGTTTCTTGAATAGATAATTAGTTGATTAACTATCGCTTAAATAGTGTTGAATTGTACGTAAAAGTGAATGAATAATCGAAGTCATTTAAGTTCTTCCTCTTTAGAACTGTTGTTGGATAACTGAAAACTGAAGTTTAAATCATGTGGTAATTAGATGACAAACAAGCCGTAACAACATGAGGTTTGGTACGATCACATGGTAATTCAGGATTTCACGGTTCCTATTTATACACGTAAAAATAAATATGACAGCGAAAACCATGATGCTGCAAGTAATGAGAAACCTATTACTGCGGAAATTCCAGGAGATTTCTGGATTAGACATTAACAGTATTAGTTGGAGTCAAAAAGGAATAGTGGTAATAAGAGCAACTGACGCAATTAAAAGATATCATAAACTTTGGGTAATTTGGCAGTTGCTTCACCATTACGATTGTAGTGCCACAAACCTCTATCAACCTCGTTCAACAGTAGTTATATGCTGTATTATACCACATGCCAAGTGATTTAACACAACTGGGAGCTCAGTGATGCCTTTGAAATGAGGACAGGAAGGAGTAAGATGAGGTTGCCTACTATCATCACCGATGATCTTCCTGATTGTGGTCAACTGGACTGGATCATGCAACAAACTGAGAGGGGCGAGAAGAGGCACATCCGCTGGCTGGCTGGATGGCTGACTGGAGCGATGAAGAGACCCCAGAAGAAGATGTGAATTTCGACAACGATGACTAATGTCCACTGTCTAATGTAGCACAAACTAGAAGATCTACAGGCGAAAACTAACAAGTTGACAGAAGAGGCAGGTCAGCGAACACGCAACTTCCTTCAGGTCAATGTAGAGAAGACAGGGGTGGTGAAGATATACAACCAACGACGACGATGATGATGACAGCAAGCAACAATCACCACCAACAGAAGAAATCTGAAGGAAGTAGTCTGTTTCACCTGCCTAGGAAGTATCGCATCGTTTCAACTACAGGTGGCACAGGCACAGATGATGATATCAAAGCAGCCAGGATCAGAAAGACAGCAAGACAAGCCTTCCTGCATTAATCTGAAACCAATCAGTGTGGAGATCTATTGTAATGCACTTCACTGCACTCAGCATAAAGCGTGGACAAGATGGGGATTTTCAACACTAATATCAGTCAAGTAAGTCAGTGCTTCTATGTGATGGCGTAGAGACTTGGCGCGTTACGAAAAGTATTTCCAACAAACTACGGACATACATCACATTACCGGCTGCCACCTACGCTCACCCGATACTGACATTGAAGATCAGATGGCCAGAATAATAAGAATAAGCAAGAAGGAACTCTGGCTGACGACGAACCAACCAACAACCTATCGCCCAACAAATATATAGAAGAAGAAAGTGAAGATGGATTGGATTGGACATACACTGAGAAGACTGTTTGGTGGCATCGCTTTGCAGGCCAGGCCCCAAAGTGGAACCGAGATGGGAAAAGACAAGTTGGGCTTCCTAGGTGGGGGTGACATGGAGGAGATCGTATGATGAAGGAATGAAAGCTTATAGGCAGTCGTGGGGGCAGGTTGAAAAAACTGTAGAGAAGAGAGTAAAATGGAGACGTGGACAAATAGTAATAACAAACTTTAGGTATTTCTTATCATGTTAACTGTAAAAAACAAAACAGTGTTTACATCATATCCATAACATAATAGTACTCCACTTACTTCTCCTTGAACAAATGATTCCATCAATCCAGCAACTTGTTGCATGTCTAGAGGGAAATTCAACTTAACGCCTTGATAATTTGATGACAATGATGGTAACCAATCACCATTCCATATGTTTAAATCCAATGGTTCACCACCATCTAATAATAATAGTAAATGAAGAGACATTCCACGAAAATAAAACTTTTTAATGGAAAAATGAAATACGTAGGAGCCAGCACACTCATAGAAATGAGAGTGAAGTAAATTTAAACTTGGCAAGATTAATATGTTTATTTAACATGAATTTCATGTAACACTCTTTTTTAGAATATTTTAAATGTAACCTCACATTTTTCTATTGACTTTATCTGACTGACTGCTGACTGACTGCTAAACGTTTTCTGTTAAGAAAGAAGACAAAGTCCCTGATTACACTGATCCAGTTAATTATGTTTCCTATGCAATCCGCTATCAAATAAACTTCACTTCTTTCAAACTTTATCCATACTTCAACACAGATACTTTGATTGATGACCAGTAATTTTAGTGTATAGTGCCAGTACTATGCAGCCGGCTACAGAAGCAGATATCTTCTGCATACTCTCATTAAACTGGTCATAGCACCTTTAGATATGGAACAGTCTTAGAATTCACTTATAATTTCTAGTCAATAAAATTCGCTAGTTGGTATAGGCTAAAAAACATTGTTGCTGTTGCGTTATCCCTGGCATGTAGGTAGGATCTCCAACGATATATTTCACTGTGTAAACATGAGGTACCAGTTCGTGGATGATAAATCACCTAACAAAGTGGTAAATCATGGCTGGACTAAACCGCATAAGATTTTTATTTCCTAATTTGTTTACTGAATCTTGTAGCATACATACCATTCAGATTTATTTATCTTTGAAATACTAAACTGTAACTTTCCAGTGGCATTATAAACATCAGCTGTTGCACAAAACCATTCTAATCACAAGTGTCTCTTTTTATTATGATTGAATGCCTACTTGTCTATTTTAGGCAAGTATAAGTTTATCCGATAGGATAAACGTAGGAAATTTGTTAATTTCAGAGTTTTTTATCACTGCATTAGGAAGACTGCCCTCTAACCTTGTCAGTATACCATTAGACTCTATATGACACACTTTGAGCGTCTGATAGACAATCCGATTACCAAGTTTCCTCTCGATAAAAGATATATGGATGACGTTATAAGTATATGGGGTAAACAGAAAGATACTATTCCTATTTTGAGTCACGCGAACAAAACTCAGAGTGGTAGTATATGCCCAAAATGTAGGAAAGAAAAGGATGTCTGTCTACCATGCTTAGACGTTCTCATAACTCGCCGGTAAGATAGGTTGATGAAACGATGCATTTATGGGAAATCTACACAAGCAGGACAGTGCCTAAATTACCATTATTTATGTTCATACTATCATAAAAGGATACCAATCAAGTTTTTTTCAACTGGACACAAGTGACACTTTAGGGGAGGAAACACGAAAGCTCATAAGAACATTATCAAACAACAATTATCCCTTAAAATTGACTGATAAATGGAAATGTCACACAAAGAAGATCGTTCTTCAGTCAGTCTTAAAGAAAGATGTGTGCATAACACTACCATATGTGAATTATTCACTGATTATGGTAACTAAACAAGAACTTCAGGCAACTATTTGGAAAAAATGCAATACAGGAAAAATCAAAATCAAATAGAAAATAAAAATTATGTATTCTTGTAAACCCTAGCAACATTTGAATGATTGCATCCTATCCAGTTGCTTTTGATAGTGAACATGTACACGTGGTCATGTATGCATACAGACGACCCCTCGATCTGTGTATGTGAAGATCACAAACACTTTCAAAATGGCTCCAATAAGTCAAATCGGATAATGTCATCGACCCAAGGAAAAGATGTCCAACTTCATCTATAGCTAAGCGCAACAGAAGCAACTTACAAAGTTGATATGTATGCATTTTTCCAGCCTATTCACGGAATCATTCGGGTGCATAGGTTTGTTGAAGCTCTGAAATATAGTGCAGTTTAGATCTTTTTTATGTGTTCAAAAATAATTTGTTGTCACATTCAAGGCTGCTTAGTAACTCAGCTCTGATATCAAGGATGAATAATGAAACATTCTCGTTTCATCTGTCGTGTGACCTCTATACTAACAAGTTAACCCTTCATTATATCGATTACTTTTAAACCCACTTATCCCTTGTTACAATTTGCATAAACAAGCATGCCTTCTCATTCAGACAAGTCGTGAGTACAGATACTCATTATCCAGTAAATCAGCAGGGATTGAAAAATATGGTCACTGAGTCCCAGGTAAGTATATGGGTATCACTGAGGTATGCTGTAATATATAAATTTCTTAGGCTTGCACTCTGATAAGGTCAATCACCTGCACTGCTAAAAACTCTGGAAATAGAATGAAACAAATAACTAATGGTTCCTAGTTTTCAGTGTTTATCTAAGTGATTTTGACCTGAGATTAAAGTTAATTTTAGGACACCAGTTCGGTTGTTAACCACTTCTTCCTGATGAAACTCTAGGCTGATTGATATACTAATTAAAAACTACAATTTATACTGGCCCAACGTTTACAACCATACAATACAATACAATTTCAATGCAATTCATTCTAATCGGTTTTCTCAGGAATATTAACAGAATATGACTGTAAAAATTAGATTTGTTACATAATGTAGAATGTAGCAGAATTCTTTGTCAATTCAAATTGTACATTTAGATAGCAAAATCAACAAGACAGCAGACAATGAAACGAAAGCAATAGTGACAATTATATTAAAATAATGAGTTTTAAGCAGATGAAAAGCAAAATAACCAGTTGATCATTAAAACAATAAATTCAACTTGTAAACAATAAGCATTATATAGGACTTCGGACAGAGTAGTGAAGACAGAACACTAGTATTTATTTAATATATACAAGCAATTAGAATGAACAAATAAATGAAACTGATCAATAGCTAAAAAAACAAACTGACATGCAAAAGTAAGAAAGCATTCATTGCTTGAAATCACCATAAGCATTTGAGTTAAATTAACCTATATCTAGAAAACATGTTTGTACTGGATAGCTTACCAAGTTGTACAAGTAATGCCAACCTTAAATCTAAGATTAAAAGAAACCCATTCAAATAGTTATGAAAAAAAATCTAATATTTTATCTATGAAACTCTAATAAATTTGATAATTATTATTTATTATTATCAGTAAGATAACAAGTACTATCATAAAATAATGATACAACCCAAGACAATTCTGATATCAAGATGGATTAGCACTGTAAAATCAAATTTTGTTCTTTCAATCGGAATATAAGTGCTAAACTGATGAAAATCTAATTAACTTACAGAATGAATCACTACCTAAAATAATTGAAAGTTGAATAATTCCTTGAAATTGGATCTATCAGCTGATAAACTCGTACCAGAGTACATATATTGGAGGAACAGAGATACACCTACATAACTGAGAGAACTCTAACGAATCTACAAATCTAGAGTAGAAAAGTCTTCAGCAAAACCTATATCTTTCATCATCATCATTTTGATATTCATATTCTAAAGCTATTTAAGTTAACAGCAACAAAAACGAACTTGAAGTTACTGTGTTTCATAGAGTTAGTGGATATTATACAATCCGAGCCTAATTTGAGCACTAGCAGGGACACCGTTATTAATACCTTTTTACCATGGTATCATTTCATTAATCTCCTTATATTATCGGTAATATCAGAATTTTCCAAATTTCGTCACCTGTGGAATCGGTGAAATATTCAGCTATGTATCAAAAAACGAGTACACTGCTCTGCAGTTCTTTTTGTCCTGTTATACGTCGGTGAGACATGGCCATGAAAAGTACACGATATGAAGTAGTTGCGAGGTTTTGATCATAAATGTATTCGTAGCATTACTCGCTTTTGACAGAATCATCATATGAGCAATGTCGAGGTCAGGTGGAGGGCACTAGGCAAGATGGGTAAGTCAGTAGACGAGATTGTGAAGCTTAGTCGACTGAGATGGCTTGGACATATATTCCTCAGGCCGAGCCATCGCCTACCTTGAAGTGTCATGAAGGGAAAGTTGGATTAGGATGGAAGAGCGTTCAGAGAGACCAGACGAAGACCTGGCACTAGTTCACGAAGTCCATGACTGTTAGTCTGAGCGGTATGTGGAGGTGTCGCCTACCCGGTTAGAGTCTCCGAGAAGATGGGAATCAGTGGCTGAGGACTCTTTCTCTATCCACCTGTTCTTTGTGAACAACTGCGTAGTGTGACAACTTGAGCCGACGCACTTGTGTTTGAGGTTCTAGGTTGATTTTATCACTCACTCAGTTATTACTTCTATTTTTAAGATCATTTTAAATCGTCTACTCTAAATCAGTTTAATTTTCTCTATATTTGCAATCTGTTCATTACTCACCTAATCCTCTTATAGACTTGAAACTTTTTCAGAATTAAAGATCTTGTTGATGGAGCTCTTATTATTTAGATAATTCTAGTACACATAATCTGTTCTACTTACTACTTGTATACAGCTACCTTGATTATCACCTTAGTATATTATACATAACCCTTGTAAGCAGTACTCAACCGTGGAGTTCATAAAAGTATAACAGTTTTAATGCATTCCTGCAGCAGAAAACGTTTATTTTTATCCTATCATTTTATGCACGCATATATATTGACTGGGAAACATGATTATCACCCAGAAGGCTTACTATATAATTTGCAGTATTATTTTATTATCGTGTTACTTTGCTCTATTATTACTACTCATAATTAAACTAATTTATAAGGGCGATAAATTCATCTAGTAATAACTATATTAATTAGATGAGATAAATGATCATTTCATCAATATTTTGTTGATTGTCGTAAATATAGTGTACTTCTGGTCTGTTGTTGTTGTTGATCATCATACCGTCGAATAAAACTCCTAGTATTTATTGATTTTCATCTTGATTATCAATCATAGGTAACTAGGACAGGTAGGTGTATTCGACTACCATACGACAGAAGTATAGTGCCTCATTTCATAAAAATCATTCAGATACTTTATCTCTCATCTATGATTACCTTTCTAAAGTCAATCTGAATATATCACATTAAAAAATTTCGATCAAATATTAATCTGTAGATTTTCAGGGAAGCTATTGGTAACAGTTTTAAAGATAATAATTGTTAGGTTCAAGTTTTTCTATGATCAACATGTCGTCATAATTAGTTCGTTGGTCTCGAGCAGTAGGAGAAGGAAACTATGGATGTAACCACTAGCCATCATCAAATAATGCCAAAAAGACTCTTTATTACTGATAAAATATCTGAAAATTGTTGTGTTTCATGTAATCACGGTATGTTTTACATGAACAATCTAATAAGAAGTTATAAATATCTTTCACTACTCAACAAAAACACTGTACTAAAGTAACTTTTGCTAACGGAAAACATTACGACAGTCTTTTCTGAATGTTGAAGATCAATGGTCAGACAGCAAAGTCGAAAATGTTCGTCATTTACGGTGGTACATGTCAGTGCATTTTAATTTTCATATTGCACTTCAGGTATATTTTCACTTTTCCTGTTTCAACCATACACCTTGTGTTTATAGCAGTACTATGGTTCGACCCTGTTATGAAATGCAAAGAACTGAACGAGTATGCTTTAGTGCTTTGCTGTACACCAGTGTACCGTCTCTCTGTTACACTGGGTACTCATGAGGAGATACAATAGACAGTTAGAATAAGTACCTTTACATTTTGAATTAAAAACTTAATTCATCAATGAAATGTTTAGTTTTAGTATTAGAATCTTTTCTCCCTTGGGTTCCTAGTGGAATATACGACTTCAGTAGCACGTCTTCAGTAAACTCTGTTCTCTGAAATCTTCTGAACCTGGTGCCAAGACTGCCCACAAGCCTTCATTTCTTCCTCACATGCTCTTCTCCATGTCACTCTCACCACGGACGCCAAATTCATCGGTTCCTATTTGCATCCCACTCGAGGATCTGGCTTGAAGCGTGATGTCCCCTGTCAACCTTCTCAGTGCATGCCCAATCCATCTCCACTTCCTTCCAGTGCATATATGTTGAGCGATAGGCTCTTACTTCGTTGTTTCATTTCAAGCCAGAGTTCCTTGTTGCTTATTCTTATTATTCTGGCCATATGACCCTCACTAACGAGCCAGCATAGGGGGCACTTGTTGATGAATGTCTGTAGTTTATTGGAAATCCCTTTCGTAACGCACCAAGTCTCTCAACCATCACACAGAAGAACTGACTCGACTCACATTGGTGTTGAAAATCCACATCTTGTTCCACATGCTCAGTGTGGTGCAGTGGATCTCCACACTGGTTTCAGGCTAATGAACGCCTCTCTTGCTTTTCCGATTCTGACTTTGACGTCCTCGTCTGCGCAACCACCTGTAGTTGAAACAGTGCTGTCTAGATGGATAGGTGAAAGAGGCTACTTCCTTTAGTTTTCTCCCATTGATGGTAATTGATGCTTGTTGTTGATGCTGTTGTTGGTTGGGTATCTTCATCACCTCTGTCTTCTCTACACTCACTTCACTTCACTTGAAGTCCCCTCTTCCTTCGGTGGCCTGCCTCTTCTGCCAACTTGTTAGTTTACGCCTGTAGATCTTCCAGTTTATGTGACATCAAACACAAGTCATCGACAAAATCCAAGTCTTCTAGGTTCTTTCCGCAGTCCAGCCAGCATATCCTCCTCTTCTCACAGCTCCTCACTGTTTGTTGCATGTTCCAGTCAACCACAATCAGGAATATGATGGGTGATGGTAGGTGGCAGCCTTGTCTTACTCCTCCCTATCTTCACTTCAAAGGCATCATTGAGCTGAGCTTCCCATTGTGAATTACTTGTCATATGGTGTCTTCAAATAGTTGTTGAATGAGGTTGATGAAGGTGTGTGGTATTCCGTAGTGTTGAAGCAGTTTCCAAATTTCTTGTCGGTCAACGCTGTCAAGTGAATGCCTTCTCAAAGTGGATGAAGTTGAGGTGAGGTAGAGTTGAGTTGACTGCCATTCTATACTCTGTTCTATGATGATGTGTAGTGTAGTGTTGCAATTCACTCTGTACATGATTTGTACTTCCTGAATCCAGTCAGCCTGTTCCTTTCGTAGTTTTGAATCCTGTGCATCTTTTAGTCTCTCCAGGATGATGCGGCTTAGTATTTTGCTTGCTGTGGGTGGACAGGGGAGTGATTCCCCACCAGTTCTTGCAAACACTGAGGTCTCTCTTCCTCGGCAGTTTGACAAGGTAACCCTTCTTCCAATCAACGGGCAGGTACCTTTCCTTCCTTCCTTGCTAACCTTCTGCAATAGTGGTGTGGTGTGAGCATGTCTGCTGTTGTCCCTGCGTCTGTTCTCAGTGCTTCTGATGGGATTCCATTTGGTCCTGCTGCTTTCCCACATTTCAGTAGGTGTATGGCGTTCAGGACTTCTACCTTTGTTGAAGGATTTATGTTCATTTGTAGTTCAGTGGCTGGGCTGTAGGTGGTATTTCTGGACGAAGTGCATGTGGTGGTGGTGGTGGTGGTGGTGGTGGTGGTGGTGGTCGATTCATGAGCTTCTTGAAGTGGTCGGCCCATCGTTTCCTTTGTTTCTCTTCTTTGGTAACTAAGTCTCCTTCACTGTCTTTCATTGGTTTCATCTGTGTTGATCTCTTTCCTCCCAGATAGTAACCTGATTATTTGATACAATGTTGTCAGGTCTCTCCTACCAACCGGCAGCCTGTTCTGCTTCACTTGCCAGTGTGTTGTTGAAGTGTCTTTTGTCTTTCCGCGCACTCCCCTTCAGCGATTGTATTGGTTCAACGGCGTAGGGTTGCTAGCCGTACGCGCAACCTTCTCTCTTCATCCGGGCTTAAGACCGGTTAGTAACTAGTGAACTAGTTAACCAGGAGCCATTTATTTTAGTACAATACAAATAACAGCGGATAATTTTTAAGTAAAGCAACCGATATATTTACCTAAATTGCCTTCGTCTTAACACAAAAAGTGTAGTTCATGAATATGTTTACACTTTTCCAATCTACTAGAAATCAATGAAATTACTAAAAAATTTATTCCTGAAGAAAACAAGAAAGTTAGTAAAAGTTTCTCTTTGAAGCATTGTTAGCTAAAAAAGCATCTCCACTTTGAATCCTAGACTTGTGAATATTTGACTTACCCAGATTATTTGAATTTTCAGAAGGATTATCTGCATCTATAATCTTTTCATCAGATGCGTTCAATATTAGGTCACGAAATAAATCATAGAGCTTTTATTTTTCACGATTCAGTGGAACAGTAAAAATATCAGAAACAATAAAAAAGAAAACAGGAACATTTATTTGATAAACTGAAGCACAGTAAAGTGTAACATATAAGATACTTATATACAATCCATTTCATGCATTAGACGTCCTTTTAAGAAAGTTTTTCACTCAAACACATGATAACATTTATCGTATTGTTGATTAAACTAGTTAAAGTGGTCTTTATCAGGATATCTAAATTTATGTACATATGCAATACCAGTTTCACAGAGAAGCTGAATCGTAAATGAATTTAAGCAATGATGTAAGACTCACTCAATCCTCAGATAAGAGAACAAACTAAAACTGATTTTTTCTTTATTCAGTAAGTGCTTTGTTATATTCTTGGCCTTCTGATGTAAACTACACTAAACTGTTTGATCAACAGTTAACTAAACAAAACACCTATTTCTCTTTGCGATTGATTTGAAAAGAGATGAGAAAAATGGATCGAACTACTGGTCTCATAATGAATATCCATCGTATGTAATAATCATTCAAATGGTAGATAAGCTAAAATCCTGCTGAAATGCGATAAACACTTGATTATCGTTCCTCAATCAATCTCAAATCATTCCCAACAACTTTTCCAATGGTCAAATATAAAAATTGAATAAAAAACTCTGAACATTGAAACTCTCAAATTCGATATTCAAATATAGTTCTCCCTTAATCGTGGTCATACGACACAACAAGAAATGGCATGTTTGACGTAAATCAGTTCACAACGTGGATTTATAACGACGATGACGATGGTGGTGATAGTAATTACCTGGTTAGTTTATTATTCGTTTTTTAAATAGTAAACTCAGTTGCAATATTTGTATAGTGAGTGAGTAAATGAACAGTTCTGTTTCACGCATCAACACACACACACACACACACGCACAGACAGACAACAAATGGTTAAACAATCAGGAATATCTTGATAACCATTTTATTATTCAATTATATTAGGGGAAATTCGAAAGAAACAACAGGACTTTTTACTCTCTCGCTCTCTCTCTCTGTGACTCTTTTCTAAGCATTAAATTGGGCGATGCCTTAAACCTGTTCACTTTACCTATCATCTTATCTTCTTTCGTGAGTGACATATATCCACCGAAAGAATTCAGCATCATATTTCACTCAATTTTTATCAGGGTTTCATTCTACTGTCTATTGAAGAAGGCATACTAAAAGAAGTTAAAAATTTCGCTTTGTGGTGATAAACTGAACAGCATATTATTTGAGCAGTTGTGTCTGTGTACACTTGTGATGAGTAGCTTTTATATTCAAGGCTGATGATAAGTGTTGACAGGCAACTTGCATTTCAGCACGATTTCCCTGTTAAATTTTGGGAGTTATAACTGTTAATTAGGTCATATTATTATTTCAGTAAGCAAGTGGTTCATGCAGCTGCCATGTAAATGAGATATACGTGGCTACTTGTTATTCTTCCTACTCTCCGCCTACTTTGATAAGAAAAAGAATAAGATGATAGGTAAAGTGAACAGGTTTAAGGCATCGCCCAATTTAATGCTTAGAAAAGAGTCACAGAGAGAGAGAGCGAGAGAGTAAAAAGTCCTGTTGTTTCTTTCGAATTTCCCCTAATATAATTGAATAATAAAATGGTTATCAAGATATTCCTGATTGTTTAACCATTTGTTGTCTGTCTGTGCGTGTGTGTGTGTGTGTGTGTTGATGCGTGAAACAGAACTGTTCATTTACTCACTCACTATACAAATATTGCAACTGAGTTTACTATTTAAAAAACGAATAATAACTAACCAGGTAATTACTATCACCACCATCGTCATCGTCGTTATAAATCCACGTTGTGAACTGATTTACGTCAAACATGCCATTTCTTGTTGTGTCGTATGACCACGATTAAGGGAGAACTATATTTGAATATCGAATTTGAGAGTTTCAATGTTCAGAGTTTTTTATTCAATTTTTATATTTGACCATTGGAAAAGTTGTTGGGAATGATTTTGAGATTGATTGAGGAACGATAATCAAGTGTTTATCACATTTCAAATTCAATTTAATCAGCAGGGTGTTGTCTAACCTTTCATATGTTTATTCGTTGTGAAACCAGTTGTCTAGCAATTTCATCTTGTTTGTAAATTGGCACTTGGAATTTTATGGCAAATCAAGTTTTAATTTGGGGTTTTGTAGGGAGTTTTAGTGACTTTAAGTTGATATTCTTCAAGGACTAACATCAGTTGGAGGTTTATTGGAAACCTAGAAGCACTGTACACCTGTTTCATCCTAGTCTTCCAGGTTTACAATGTCACTCCAACTAATATCAGTCCATAAAGGATACCCTCTCAAACTCAAGTTTTGTTTTATCTTCAAACATCATGTTTAGATATAAGGGCAAGTTTGTCAAAGAAGAGTTAAATTTGGATGATGTCGAATTCGAAGTTTTACATCTGACTTATAAATCATGTTTGATTGTCAACATTAACCGGTTGCAGTCACCTGAATATATGTTAAAAGTTTCACTTATCTTTCCTATGATAAACCCAGAACAGAAAAACATTAGGTGATATTCGTTCTGTTCAGTTTTGAAGAACAGATCTACTGATGAAGTCTTCCTAAAATTTAAATGACAAAAAAGATGACGGCTATGTTACACTATTTACCGAAAGACGAAGGAGTACGTGAACCGTTGCTTTTAAAGTCAGAGATCTGGAGACGACATTCTCAATTTGAGACATGACATCTCTCTGTCCCGTTAGAGCTACTTCAGATGGTATCGAACTTTGATGAAACAGCTTTAAAAATACAAATTAGTATTCCACTTAACAACTATAATCGATACGCTCATAAACATGTAAATAAAGGTTTTTTCTGACTAGAAAGTCTGGTACAGATAATTTTTAAATACTTACACAAGTGTTTAGCGTAACTTGTTCTCCTAACTGAGGTTTCATTACCAAACGCTTCAGTCCCATTCTGCACATCGTTTAAAAGATACGAACTCACAGAAAGAAACTACCTTTTTGACTATGTACTCACCTGCTTTAGATGCAGTTTTCTCACACTAGTACCTCAAGATTAAAAGCTGGCTATGATATGTTTTTACGGTGTTCTGTTGCACTTTAGGGACTTCCTGTTTCACCAGTTAGCTTCATCCACTAGACATTATTGTTCAGGCTATTCGACGGAGTAGAAACAATAACTTTTCAGAAAAGGTAATCGACCATCCCTAATTTTATCATTCATTAAAATTTTGCTTACACTAGATCTTTCTTCGAGGTTTCATTTCAATACTGTGGTCTGTATACTGCCACCTTTGCTTTGTTAACTTTTAGTGGGATTTGGTTCCTCTCACTTGAATACTTTTTATTTATTTTAATTCTGAATGCCTTATTTTCTTAGAATATATATCCATAGCAAGCACATGCATACCGAGACTTTTTTAGCAGTATCAGTCAAGTTTATAATACATTTTAGTTAAACGGCATTACTTATTATTGAAGTCTAGTTATATGTTTCTGATTGGTCATAGATAAAATATCGAAGTGATTTTCTAAACACTAGGGTAAAATAATTAGCGTTTAGTGAAACAACATTATTCTAAAGGAAAAACTTTTATTATCACTGATGTATAGTTAATTGTGTTACTCATTGAATGTGCACATATATATATATATATATATATATATATATATATATATATATATATATAAGGTTTTCTGACCAACCTTTAGGTGATTCTGTTCTCCAGCATATTCCAATGATTGATAGATCATCCAAGCGCATCTTCTTTTAATTTCTAGACGCGCCTGATAACGTCTGTACCATTTCTGAATGAGAACAGCAGCTCTGAGACCTGAAAGTTATTTTACATATTTATCAATAATTAAGTTTTATTAAATTTCAATTAGCAGAGAATAGTTAATAAATGAATTGGTGCAGTTACACTTCGTCATTTTGTCACCGGTAAATAAGGACCGTTATTCCATGGACAACCTTCATAACCTTTGTAATGTTGAATAGATAAGAGAATTTAATATGGTCATTACTACCTAAACAGGAATGTTGTTAAAAATCAAATTCTAACCAATGATGAGCTTAGCCGACATTACATTATCCGTGCAAACCTCTGTAGAAAGTTTTCCCTGACAGGCCCCTACAGGCCAAACTGAGAAAATTGTAGACTCTCTCTGATCAATATACTTTCATTATGAACCAATTAACAGTGATATTGATAATATTTTGTGTGTAAACCCACTGCATGCAAGCAACATTGGTATCAGATGGAGAAAACTGTAATATACTAAATCTCATTATCATATTTATTGCGCTTTCAATGCATTATAATTGCTTGAAATTTCCATGGTGAATCATAACAATTGGATTCATTATTTTGCTTATTTAAATCGTGAAATCATGGAGCAATCTAATTGTATACCAGATCAAAAAATGACTCAAAGATTTTGACAGATCTGGATATGCAATTAATTCCATAAATCATACAAATATCCTTTTTTGCCTCTAAACAGATTTATATTCTCTTCGGAGGTGAAAGTTATTACTCTAAAAAAAGAAGAATTTGATTACTTATAAGACAACTGCTTACGTGAGGGATTCAGTTTAACCTGACAGTACATACCTTCATATCAAATCATTAGATACGAATCTTTACAACTTCAAAGACATTTTTATGTTTTTATCATATTATATCATATAGTTAAGATAAAACGTCAATGGATTTCTTTCTCACTGATAATCTATTTGTTCAGCAGTGGATGCAATACAAGACAAAGTCATCAAGAATTATTGAATGATTATTAATCGTGAATCATATTTAATTACTAGTAAATTTAAAAAATCTGAGGTTGGTTCGAAATTCCTTCAAGTCTGTTATCTAGTTTAACAATGTTCAAGAAAATAATGTTAGCCTATTTCAACAATGATTGGTCCGCATTTTGTATAGTGTAGTACACCTTTTTAGTTATACAAGTTTCGTTTGCTGTCTGCGACCAAATATACTCTTGAGCTGATAGTAACCTGTTGATTGCCATCTTTCTGTAATTCTATTTCTATAGGATTTCTGGCATGCAATAAAATCAAACTGTAATTTGCTGTTATTTAGAGAAGCATATAGTTTAGGATGATAGACATCATAATTGGATAAGTGGAGCCATATTGAAATATTTCTTCTGATATTTTGGACACCTGTGAGATACACCGTCAAAGTAGCTTATAATAACACTCTGACCAGCTAAAAGACCCCTTCCACCTTTTGAAACTTCATTAGACATTTCCCAAATAATAAAAATGTAGTCTACATAGTGCTTTTTTCGATTATGTTCAAATTATGAACAGCAACAACAAAGTAGTGAAAGCTTCTTCAGTGTATTCTTCGAAAATTGATGTGCATTTCTGATCATTCGGTCATTCCTTAACCTCTTTCTTCTTCTGTATGCCTTCATAATATTGTTATACTTCCTGTATGATATAATTCTTTATGTCAGTAGTGTACCAAGTTTATTTGAAAATCAACATACGTAAAATTCTGTCAGTAATCACTAAAGTTCGACCCAGTTTGTTCTCTGGATTCCGAGAATTCTGCGAAATCTAAACTTCTTTTATTCAAACACTTTATCCATTAGAATATTTTGTATTTATCATTCTTATTGTAATTCTGTGACATCAGATGAATTCTTCATCAGATTAGTTAAAATTACACATTCTTATGTACTACACTGCATAAAGTCTTACGTTAAATACTAATTCCACAATGACCATCTAAAAGACAACTAAAAATTTCGATAAGTAAAACCAAGTTTTAATCTCTTAGTTCAACAAGTGTTGGTAAAATTAAAAAGCTGAATACATTCTGTATATTCCTGTTACCAAGCTTAAATGAAAGACGTTATACAGACATTTAATTTTATTTCTCTCACTACACCTTTATTTCAATCAGCACATTCACTGAATAAAATATATTCCACAGAGTACATCTACCAATGAATACCATGTCACTAAACTGTTATCATGTTTCAAATATTTAACAAATATATACTTAATACATTCATTTATTTTGTTTAAATTTTCTAAACTCGCTTGAAACACTGAACACAATCAAATGACATATTCAAAAAGTTATCATAAACGTAAAAGTCGTTCATGATAATCTGACGTATATAAAAGTAATAGTGTTCTGTGACCATCAAACTTTTGGTAATTACTTTATAATGATGTTAATTATTAAAAAGCACATATATGTGACCGGCAGGGTCAACCAAGTCAGACGTGAGGACAGTTACTCAACTATGGCACTTGATGGAGGTCGTACTAAATTATGAACTGGCAGAAGTAAGAAATTTGGACCACTGTATTCCGACCCAGCGGCTCAGTGCTGACGTGCTGGTCATAGAACTTGAAAGTCTTGGATTCGATGTCAGTTCACGATGAATATCAGCCTGAAATCCTTGTAATAAATCCCTACAAACCTTCTAAATGAAAAGTGAAACTGTATATTTTTTATTAGGAATATGTATGCAGAACGGAACCTCGCCTACTTAATTAGTTCACTAGTTACAAGCCGGTCCTAAACCCGGGTAAAGAGGGAAGGTTGGGCATACGGCTAGCAACCCTACCCCGTAAAACAAATCTAACCGCTAAACAAACTTCAAAGCACAAACAAAACATAAAAAATAAAAACAAAACTATTCCTCTCCGGAATCGGAGAGGCGAAATCACAAAGGGTGGTGAAAGCCTTCGGGAAGCCAATTGGCCGATGTGTCTTCTCTCCCTCGATGAAACAGCAAGTAAACATGGGGACATGGAATGTCCGCACGATGTTTGAACCTAGTAACGTAGTCCAGATTGCAAAGGAGATGAGAAGGTATAGCACTGAAGTGCTAGGAATTCGCGAAAGCAGATGGAATGGAAGTGGACTCTCCAAACTGTCAACTGGAGAGTCAATAATCTACTCCAACATTGTCACCCAGACGACAACCACGAGCACACTGAGTTATGGAGCGGCTACCACGATGTCGCTCAGAGCATCGAAGGCTCTCATAAAGTGGGAAGCAACCTCCTCCTGGATCATGGCAGCAAGATTCAAGTCAAAAGGAAGGAAAGTCACCACCATACAATGCTATGTACCTACAGATAATGCAGAGCAAGAGAAAAAGGAGGAATTCTACAAACAACTCCAATCAACACTGGACAAAACTCCACCTCAGTTGGCGATATCAAAATTCTAATGGGCGACATGAATGCCAACTGGGAGGGGACAACACAGGAAGAGAAGTAACCATGGGCCGAGAAGCACTCGGTGAAATGAATGAGAGAGGAGAACTATTTGCAGATTTCTGCACATTCAACGATTTGGTGATTGGAAGCAGTGTGTTCAAGCACAAGGATATCCACAAAGCAACATGGATTTGATTTCACCGTATGGAAACACCCCACTAAAAATCAGATCGACTTCATCTCAATCTGAAGAAAGTGGAGACGCAGTCAGCATACTTGACACAAGGTCAAGAAGAGGAGCAGATGTAGGTTCAGACAACACACTATCAAGTGCAAGAAACCTTCCAAATCAGGTTAAAAGCCCTCAAGGAAGCTGGTGATAGACCACAGTTCAAGTACAACACTCGGAAACTGAAGGATGGAACTACAAAGGAAATGTTCACGCCAGTCAGCCATCAAGACAAAATGGGAGATATCGAGCAATATCCCTGAAGGAACCTGTGTGGAAGAACACTGGAAGTCTTTGAAAGAGGTGTGGAAAGAAACCTGCACAGCCGTATTAGGAAGGAAGAGGAAACAAGGCAAGATAAGGTAGGAATGGATCTCGACGGATACATGGAGGCTGATAGAGCAGGAGAGGAGGATAGTGAAGCAGAAGATGAATAAGTGCAAGGATGCTCAACGACAAGAGGAACTGAGTACAATGTATAAAACACTCACTGAACAAAGAAGTGAAGAAGAAAGCACGAAAAGACAAAAGACACTTCAACAACACACTGGCAAGTGAAGCAGAACAGGCTGCCGGTTGGTAGGAGAGACCTGACAACATTGTATCAAATAATCAGGTTACTATCTGGGAGGAAAGAGATCAACACAGATGAAACCAATGAAAGACAGTGAAGGAGACTTAGTTACCAAAGAAGAGAAACAAAGGAAACGATGGGCCGACCACTTCAAGTAGCTCATGAATCGACCACCACCACCACCACCACCACCACCACCACATGCACTTCGTCCAGAAATACCACCTACAGCCCAGCCACTGAACTACAAATGAACATAAATCCTTCAACAAAGGTAGAAGTCCTGAACGCCATACACCTACTGAAATGTGGGAAAGCAGCAGGACCAAATGGAATCCCATCAGAAGCACTGAGAACAGACGCAGGGACAACAGCAGACATGCTCACACCACACCACTATTGCAGAAAGTTAGCAAGGAAGGAAGGAAAGGTACCTGCCCGTTGATTGGAAGAAGGGTTACCTTGTCAAACTGCCGAGGAAGAGAGACCTCAGTGTTTGCAAGAACTGGTGGGGAATCACTCCCCTGTCCACCCACAGCAAGCAAAATACTAAGCCGCATCATCTTGGAGAGACTAAAAGATGCACGGGATTCAAAATTGCAACAGGAACAGGCTGACTGGATTCAGGAAGTACAAATCATGTACAGAGTGAATTGCAACACTACACTACACATCATCATAGAACAGAGTATAGAATGGCAGTCAACTCAACTCTACCTCACCTCAACTTCATCCACTTTGAGAAGGCCTTCATTTGACAGCGTCGACCGACAAGAAATTTGGAAACTGCTTCAACACTACGGAATACCACACACCTTTATCAACCCCATTCAACAACTATTTGAAGACACCATATGACAAGTAATTCACAATGGGAAGCTCAGCTCAATGATGCCTTTGAAGTGAAGATAGGGAGGAGTAAGACAAGGCTGCCACCTACCATCACCCATCATATTCCTGATTGTGGTTGGCTGGAGCATGCAACAAACAGTGAGGAGCTGTGAGAAGAGGAGGATATGCTGGCTGGACTGCGGAAAGAACCTAGAAGACTTGGATTTTGTCGATGACTTGTGTCTGATGTCGCACAAACTGGAAGATCTGCAGGCAAAAACTAACAAGTTGGCAGAAGAGGCAGGCCACCGAAGGAAGAGGGGACTTCAAGTGAAGTGAAGTGAGTGTAGAGAAGACAGAGGTGATGAAGATACCCAACCAACAACAGCATCAACAACAAGCATCAATTACCATCAATGGGAGAAAACTAAAGGAAGTAGCCTCTTTCACCTATCCATCTAGACAGCACTGTTTCAACTACAGGTGGTTGCGCAGACGAGGACGTCAAAGTCAGAATCGGAAAAGCAAGAGAGGCGTTCATTAGCCTGAAACCAGTGTGGAGATCCACTGCACCACACTGAGCATGTGGAACAAGATGTGGAATTTCAACACCAATGTGAGTCGAGTCAGTTCTTCTGTGTGATGGTTGAGAGACTTGGCGCGTTACGAAAGGGATTTCCGATAAACTACAGACATTCATCAACAAGTGCCCCCTATGCTGGCTCGTTAGTGAAGCTCATATGGCCAGAATAATAAGAATAAGCAACAAGGAACTCTGGCTTGAAATGAAACAACGCAGTAATAGCCTATCATCCAACAAATATGCACTGGAAGGAAGTGGAGATGGATTGGGCATACACTGAGAAGGTTGACAGGGGACATCACACATCAGACCCTTGAGTGGAACCTGAATGGGAAAAGGCGAGTTGGGCATCCGAGGTGAGGGTGACATGGAGGAGATCGTGCGAGGTGGAAATGAGTGGCTGAAGCTGTCGTACAGCCATTTTCAGAAGATTTCAGAGAATAGAGTGGAATGGAGACGTGCTACTGAAGCCATATGTTCCATTAGGAACCCAAGGGACTAATAATAATAATGTTATTCATCGTAGACTGACATAAGTTGGAAGAACAAATGAAACCTGGGAGGACTGGACATCTGTTTCGTCCTGGAATGGGACTGCTCAGCAGCGCGCACTCACGACCGCGCCAGGGATCGAAATCGCGACCTTCAGGTTCCGTGGCCAGCACGTTACCATTCAGCCACTGGGTCAGAATTCAATGGTCCATATTTCCAACTTCTGTTAGCTCACGATATAGCGCTCTAGTATACAGTGTTAATAATAAACAACAACTATTAAAAGATTTCAACAGGAGAAGATATGCAGAAATTTCTTATTCTCTTAAACATCTTGCAATATTCCTTGGAAGGTAGACATGGGGAATTGTAAATCACCTTCAAGTCAATCCCTTAGTGATTAGAATGATGAAAAAAGATTCCAATTCATTACCTATACGTAAGAATATAGAATCTGACTGAAACAAGTTCTGAGGAGTGGAACTGGTATCTAGAGTTGCCACACTGGTGTGGATGTTTGATCACATACTTTCAAAAACATCAATCCTTTGAAGAGAAATATATTTTTATTGTTTATCAACTTATATGTTGTGTGGACACACACAGATAGGGAAGAGTAATCGTGATATGCGGTTAAGGAAGGTTGAACATGTACCTTATTGGCTACAAAAACAAATGACCTCAACAGATCCGATAAGTGCAGGTAACAAACATCCATCTTCGTCTATAGCTAAACATATACTAAAAACTAACCATGGGATAGACATGAAAACAACCTTTAAAGTGCAACATATAAAAGTGGTCAGAGTCGAGTGCTTAAATTTATTGAAGCTCTTGTCATTCGTAAATTTAAACCCCCTTTATGTATACAAAAACAATTTGTACTCACGTTGAACCTACCTTGGTAGTATTGATTTTAATTTTTATAACAAGAGTAAAGTGATTAAGATTTTTTTCTTTTTATCTGCCCTTCATATTCCTATATTTCCTATCTACTTCATTGACCCTATTCGCAAAATTTCCATATTTTCATATTTCAACAAGTCCATATGTGATCAGATTGTTGGAAATGTATAGCGTTAATACATCACCTGCTTCAGATAATCTTCGTCTTCTAATTACGCAGTTTAGAATTATCAAAGGGACTAGTTGCTTTAAATGTCTTTATTGAATGTTAAAGAACAGTTTATGCATTTAAGGGAGCTCTATGTTCCATTAGGAACCCAAGGGACAAATAAAACAAATAAATAAAATGTAGAACAGAAATGGATCAAGGAAAGGGATTATGCTTTACTTACTGTACTGTTGAGAGCCTCTTTTATCCTCACTTGGTTTAGTCAATGTACATGTTTTGGCACTTTGATCTGAAATGAAATAAGATGTCAAGAACATACAAACATAAATCATTTTGATCACATCTTTTGTTGAACATTTATATTAAATTGCACGACAGTTTAACCAATATAAACATTTCAGTGTTTAGATTATGTGTAACAGTTTTAGTCAGCAAATACAGTATAATGCCTGAATTTAAGAGATAACTGAGGTTGCAGTTGGATTCAAATTAATACCCTCAAGGATATTAATGTATGCATTACTGACTGAGTAGTCAAAAATAACTGATGAGTTTCAGTTTCACTTTAATCACCAATTGTTTTATTCAACTCTCATGTGAATGTGAGATATCAAAAACGGTTTCTACCTGACTGTACTGCTTTCTGATTACATTTCTAGCCTTTATTACAACTATAGTCATCAACTTGAGATAACTTATTCCGATCATTTGTATAAACAAACTGGGCAATGTTGAAAGTAGTATGACAATTCATGAATTCAGTCCACAACATCCATGAGCAGTAGAGAGACAATGCATCAATAAGAATAAGATGGGAACAATAAGGTAGGGCAAAAAGGACACAAGAAAATAATCGGATTTTCATCTTTAGTTACTTATTTCTTATCATGATACTGCTGCCCAGTGGTCCAAGGTTTCCAATGTCCCTCCAGCTGATGACAGTCCATGATGGATTCCACCTTAAAACTAATTAATAAACCTCCACAAACCTCCAGACAGAATTAACTTAGTGCTCACCGGTGAATAGCTTTCAGAATGGACCTCCGAAGTTCCAGTGTGAAGTCGTGACCACTGGAGTCAATTAAAGTCAAACATCAGGACAGTTACTCAGCGATGACATTGGATGAAGGTACCAATATATCGTGAACTGACAGGAGTAGGAAATTTGGACTAATGAATTCCAACCCAGTGGCTAAATGGTAACGAGCTGGATACAGAACCTGAAGTTCCTGGGTTCGATCCCTGGCGGTGTGGGGTCATGGATGCGCTCTGCCGAAAAGTCCAATTCTAGGACGAAACAGCTATCCAGTGCTACCAAGTCTCTAATGTTTCTAATGTCAGTCCATGATGAGTTCCAACCCTAAAATCAATTAATACTAAATAATTCTATTCATTGAAATTTTACATAAATATAAGTGTCAGACAGCTAAGTCATTTAAACATAAAATCAGTTTTCATATAGTAATGTGTACTTGTCATGCAATTAACTAGCTTTTTCTTCATTAGTTAAGCCAACATTCTGCCAAAGTATGTTTTATTTTTTAGTGTTTGCTGGGTTTTTTTTGTTGAAAAGTAACCTCTATCTCTTTGTGCGTTTCCATAGTCTGTAATACTTCTTTATTTACATCGCTAGAAGACATCCCAGTAGACCTTAACATACACAGAACTCTAAGTAGCATTCTGCTTTGTTTGGTTGTAATTTGACACTGAGAATAAGGAGCAAGTAATTATTAATGAGCGGTGATAGACATTAGATATAAGTTATATTTGGAGAAATTTTAGCGAGTTTGGAATAAGAAATTTCAACGTTCCGCAGGAAAGTCTGGTTCGAGTTTTTTCTGAGAAATAATCTACATTATCATACATATACATGATAGGTCAAGAATCGCATAGTTCATCTCATTGTCCAATCTTGACTAGATTATGATTGTTTTCCCATAGGGTTATTAGTCATTCACATTATGGTGCATTGATATATACGATGTCTGAATGTAAGCCTGTATGTGTGTGCATGTGTTGTAATCCAGACATCGGAGATAGACATCTGAAATACATGACCAATATGTTGTCCAGTCTTTTCTTGATACTATACCATCTAAATCAAACTAGTGATGTTATTGCTACACATCCAAAACACACAAAACATTTTCTTCTGAAACCAACTACAAGTATGAGGAGATTTCGTAATCCACTAAAATTCTCTGGCATTATCCGTGCAGACAAACACAGCTGAAGCGATAAAACCCTGCTGTCGCACGGAAACTACTGAGCTTTTTCTGTTTTACTTCTAAATTTCTATATACTTTTCGTACTTCAATATGAGTTTGTCTGCTAGAAAATAAAATCTTAATAACATGAAGGTTTAAATTCTTTACCTCAAGTATATTCCAAATATCACTTCTAAAGTTGCATCGAACACATTTATAGTATCTGTCATGAATTAACAATGGGTGCGTACTGCTAAGGAGTCCCGTACGAGGACGAAACAGCTGTCCAGTGTTCCCAGGTTTCCTTTGTTCCTCCAAGTGATGTCAGTCTACGATGAATACCAACTTGAAATATTTCCAAATCCCCACAACTCCCTCAAAATAGAAATTACCTAACCATTCTTGTTTATCTATTACCTGAGATTAGTTTACATTCCCTTATCAAAAATGTCTTCCATTTCTACAATCAATCCAAATCATCTAGAAGCATGGTAGCAGTACCAGTGTGATAGTATTCAGAATCGTTTATTGTTACCACTCATGCTCGACTGTAGTGATACTAGAAGTAGCTTTCGTGCCAACTGGATATCAAAACACGATAAGTAGTTGCCATGAAGAGAATACACTGCAAACAGGAACTAAACAAATGACCAAGTGTGACATTATTCAGAATGCCATATGCAATAAATACCTCTGCGAATCAAATCCAACAATACTGACTATTTATCGACTGACGATAGTGTATCTTGTCACTGAAGACATTTCTTCACTACTTCAACAACAGAACCCCACTTTTGCTAGAATCCACCATGGCTTGGTGAAGCTAATCAAATAAAATATTTTCCAGCATTATAAGCATATTTCCGTCAGACAAAACTTCTAAGTTTTTCATGTTCGTTGTAAATAAGTAATGAAGTACTAAAGCGTGCACATATCCATTCTAATGATTAATACGTGAATGAATTTATCATATGATTAGCCTGTGGTCAACTTGCACTACGTGAAGTCAGCACCTGAACAACCCTCGAAGTGATAGAACTTGAGTGAATATATATATATATATATATATATATATATATATATATATATATGCCTCGGTTCTAGACAACGCACAAACGAATATCTTTTACAGACTACTTTGTGAGGGGATTTAGTGTATTGCTACTCATGGCAGCCAAGACATTTTTTCACCACACAACACTTATGCATGTAATACTTATAATGTTGGAGTTATACCTGTCTATGTCCAAAAACCTACGTTCAACAGTAGATAAATGTAAATAAGTGACACAAACACGTTTGCCCGTTCATCCCAATCTACTTATGTAATTAACATCAAATTTTGGATAAGTAGCCGGTGTCAGCAATTATTTATTATTTCACACTACTAATCAAAATTACTATCAAAAATACAAACATAAAGGATAACAACACAGAACTTCACATAAAAGGTCAAACGTTCAAGCAGCCACTTCTGAAATACTAAAGAAACTCGAGTATTTAGAAGTTTGGTCAGTATTAACGTAAACAGAAATCAGTATATAAATGCAGAAAGAGCAGTTACTTAGGAAGCGATTAGATATTTCCTGTTTTGTAAAAGCATACAGTAAATACGTGTGTTGTTATTATAACTAGCATAAAAACACTTTTCATGATGCATCTGTCATGTCCTTTCCTCATGAATCACAGAGCCTGTAGAAAAACAGTCACTGGACTTCAATCCTTCCACTCAAAAGTAGTGAATGTTTCATAAGATAAAATCGCTTTTGACTCTACTCTAGAAATTGTCAGTGAAAATTTACTTGTGCGGTGCCCAAAACAACTACTTTTATCAAATCCAAGCGGCTATCTATATTTCAACATTAACGATGGAGATGTTTAGTCCCTGGTTATTCCTATTATTTTACATTGGCTGATACTTGAAGCTGACTAGGCTATAGTAAATGAAGCAGCGTAAGAATGATTTAGGCAGTTTGTTAAAAACAAATGCTAGAATCTGTGGTCTATCACATAGGGTAAAATTGAAGATTTACAAGCCACTATGACGTTTGTTAGGGATTAAGCTGTACTGCTAGTTGAGCTGACAGGCAGTATCACTAGCTGTTACTTATTAGACGTGCCTCACCGCCTACTGCAAGAATGTGTATGAGACTGTTGCATCCATTTAGACTACATAAGATACACTAAGTGAGTACACCCGAAAACTTTCAACCAAGTGATTGCATAATAAAGTTCTTGCCACGAAAACCGAATGTCGTAGATTTGATCTTATGTGAGTTAAGACGTGTGAACTCTAGGACTAGATGACATACTTCTTAATATTTAGTGGCTTTTAATTAAGTGTCAGTCTGAGAAAAAATACACACTAAACATGGCCCTTCACTCATCAGTTTGAAAAGCATCATCTTTCACACTGTAAACACCATTTACCTATATTTCTTTTTTCCAGTACTGAAGCATGTGACCTGCTTGGATAACTGATTGTTTTCTCTTCTTTTCATGACCATTCAAACAATTTTGCAGTGAATCCTAGCATACAAGTTACACGTGTTAGCCCACCAATCCTTGATCAATCCACCGAATTCAGCCGACTACTGGAATAACTGTGGCATATAAACCGATTAATTATAATCAGCCGATGGTTTTTAAGAACTGATTGATTTTAAAGTAGTCCTACCCATCTGCACGCATCAACATAGTTAGAATATAAATTAACTTTAATAAAACATGTAATTTAACCCAGAAAACCAGTAGTACTTTAGTTTTAAGTTTCAACATGAATTTTTTTACCCATTGGAAAATAGGCATTCACGTGGCATTAACCCACCTTTGGAAGGTTAATTTATTATGAAATCGATAGAAAAAAATGGATTTTCTGGGTATACGGTTAAGAATAATACCTGCTTATTAATATTTCCGCTATATAAATGCCCGATTTGTAATACATAATACCAGTGGACAACAAAAATATCTAATTCCACAGTCGCCGAATTTGATTGCTGATCACTGCTGTTGTTCTAACGCTGCCATAAGTAAGAACTTTTTGGATAAAGAATTTGGTGAAAGTAATGGATAAGCTTTT